TCATAATTCTTCTTGACTTTCACAATTTTAGCATCCCATTCCTTTGTACGCTGGTTGTATTTTCTGGTAACTATTTGTTCCCCTGTCTTTGTCGTTGCCGGCTCTTGGTTCAAATGAAAATTCCAGTCTATGGCTGCAAGTTGTTTCCGGGCTTTGTAAACTTTGTAACTAAAACAATAACACAGCATTGCTCCGTCAGTCTTTGAAATTACAATATATTATTACTTTGATAGGTTTTAGTATATTATGGGCAATGCATAAGCAGTCAAACTTAACATGTTTCATGAGCAGAACTGTGTATTTACATTATTGGTTTTTCCTTGCTTGTTTGTTTTTTTTTTAACATTCTATAACATCACTAAACTGTCTCCAAAATATCCTGTATTTTCATCGGTTCAGGATGATATTGTCATTAATGTCCCAAATGTTTGAACCAACAGGAATGTGCTTATCACTGCAAATTGAATGAATGTGCCAAAAGAATTATTGAATGTAGAATGGCATCATTTATTTAGAAAGACGTTTGCATCATAAGTGTAACAAACCTGTATGAACATCTTTTTGATGCATATGCCAGGGTAAGATTGTTTGCACACTCAATACTTCCTGTATGCCTAGAGAAAATAAACAATGAGGTCCATTAAATTCATCATTAATTTCTCCAAAAAAATAAATCCAAAGCAACATGCAAATGTAGCTGATAACCAGATAATTTGATTAAAAATGACTTGTGCAGATGGTTATTTCCTATTTTCCTGTCAACTTGGGTCAACAATATTTCCAAGTTTCACATAACAAAACCAGTGGTCTTCATCCGAGTTTCTTATGTTAACTGAACAGTCACCATATTTTTATCAATTTCTTTGTCAGTAACATTGATAAGAAGACTCCATCTTGTATTGGATGAATCAACATTACTTTCCTAATACATCACTGACATTACTGGATTCTACATCAAACACTGTCCATTTCACTTCAGTTTACCTGAATCTGACATAAGATTTGAAACTTGCAAGGAGTTGAGGTTCCAGAATAATCTTTTGAAGTGCTTCAAAGTCTTTATCCCTGCGGTCAAACCATGGGAGTGTATGGTCTTCTAACTCATCATGGGCAGATCTGCCTCCAACCCAGTCATGTTCGTCACACACGTGACGTAAAAGTCCAATCCATGTATTCTAATAAAAAACAGAAGCTTCATGTTTGAGATTCTCCAAAATCTTAATGATTAACAATTTACTGTAAGTGCATGTAATAAGTATATATCAATAGGTGTGAATGGGAAAATGTTTATGTATACACCTATTTCAATTAAGGTTGCATCAGATAAAAATGATGCATGATCCATGGGAGCAACCATAATTGAAGTAGGTGTATACATTTAGGTAAGAAATGCTACATGTACAGACCTTCATGATTTCAACTGCTTCGTCATCACTGGTTGATGCAGTAGGTCTACAAGTGCTTGCACAGTGCCAAAAGTGTATCTTGTCCATGTCTTTCAATTTCCCAACCTAAATGGATTAAGTCCGCAGCAAGTAATAAGTATTCTTTCCTAGCTTTTGTTTCCTTTTTTGTTAAACTATCATAGAGTTAACTGTTTTTCTAACCATCAATAATTTCTACTTATATTTGTTTTAGAAGCTACAGTAAAATCCTGTTCTTCTGATTTTAGAAGATCTGACGAGTGAGTCATATGAAGTACTGTTTTTGTGGGGAATGATATTACCTTTGCCAGGCACTTCCTTATACTCTTTGACTTACGCCAAACATCCAAACTGTGGAATACTCCTTGAAACTCATCAGCTACAAGAAAAACCAAACAAAAAATTTGTTCATTTCTGGTTAAAATAGAAATTACCAGTAATCAATGTTGGAGGCAATGCAAGTTATACCATGAAGTATAAGGCAACAAGTTCATGCACGTTTCTTTCTTTTTTTATGCATGAGTACAGAGTAAAAAAGACTAAAATAATGAACAAAATTCAAGTGTATCAGTAAAGCAATATTGATACACCTGTTTAATTATTGCTTGCAGTATCTTACCAATCAACTTTTTTATTGTTGAAGAGGCATCAGTAACAATTTCAACTACGTTCAATATTCCTCTAACTCGGTGAAGGGCACTACGCAGGGCATTCTTTTCCATGTTCACTGATTCCAAATTTACATGACATTTGTCATTCACTTCAACTTCCAGGATGTAACCACTGACCAACTCCATCAGAAAATAGCATAAATTTTTAGCTGTATGGCCAGGCGAGTCACATTGGCCATCGCTACAGACAATAACTTCTTTATCAAAAAATTCTTTGAGAATTTGCTCTCTCTGCCACGACCACCACTCATTTACAACAGGTATTAGGTATAATCGCTGCATCCTGAAGAATGTGGCATCTGAAAACAAGGACAGACCCATAAATCTTGCCATTTTTTCAATTTTGAAAAAACTGTTCCCTGATAGTAGGATTGCAGCTGCTACTTGAAGATTGTTAGCATACATAGCATTGACATCTTTGGATGATGAAAATCTCCCTTGGTGACCAGATGGGCAATTCCAGTTGACAATCAAAGTTGGGCCTATTGTGTGATGTTTAAAACTTGCTTCATTTGCACAGCCAGGATGGCGGCAGCACTTGAATAATTCCAGGAGAATATCTAACGAACAAATCACTTTGGTTTCCTTAACCAGTGATATTTCTTCCTCCAGGTGGGCCTGTTCTTCTAGCCTGCCAAACTTGCAGTATTGCACTGGCACAGTAGTCGCAGGCACAGTACTCACAGGCACAGTTGACCCAGGCACAGTGGTCGCAGGCACGGTACTTGCAGGCACAGTAGTCGCAGGCACAGTGGTCACGGGCACAGTAGATACAGGCAAGGTAGACAGGTTGGAAGCAGACGGTGTGGGCAATGCGGGTGGCACTGTGCTATCCACAAGCCTTTCATTTCTTGACTCACTGTAATCATCTTCCTCACTCATCTCTTCATCATCTTCCTCTATGTCAGACCTATGTCAGATAGTATAAAAATATTTTTTGACTCAAATCAGTATTTTTAGTTTCATTATTTTTCTTCATGAAAAGATTAACAATAAATAGCTCACTATTGTGGTTATAAAGCAAATAAAGGGAGAGGTAAAGAATCAACCTTAAGAGGACACAGAAAAAATCTGAGCCCTAGCAGAGATTTGAACCCACAAGCATCCGTGTTCTAGATCAGATAGTTACCTAAAAAAAACTCAGCAATGGAGAGCAACAAGGTGATCATGGCCAAACACAAGATTGTAATATTATAATTCATATATCAGGTAGTTGCACATTTTGGTATATCACCTTAAAATCACATCATACAATGGTTGACAAACCCACACTGAAGAGAAAGTTACACGCAAAATGTCACATCTTATACCATATGAAGATCTTATCAAGCTTTAACCCGCCATCACAATGTAGCCAGTGTACTTATGTATTTTAGTAATAAGTATGTTATGTGTTTTATACACACTCACCACAATAAAAATAATAACATATTAACTTTAATAATAATTATTACACTGTAAATTGCAACATACATGTAAATGTTATTACTAGTGTATAAGTCCACCTTTCATAAACAGAAAAGTACCCCAAAATGAGGGAATTTAACTTCTGAGAAACTGCCTGAATCACTGAACTTACCCAATCTCAGATACTTCCGAATTGCCGCTCTCACTCTCACAGTCAATGAGATCTTCGTCAAGATCCTGCAAGGCCTCTTGTACACCATACATCACCCTTTCAAAAGAGACGGACCACTACTATTATTGGTTTTGTTTGGCATGTTCGTTGCAGGCAAGTTTCAAGGGTAAAGGTTCAACCAACACATGTATTTAGTTTACTAATAATTTTTACATGTAAGTTGTTATACTTACATTATTTTGACAGTTGGAATAACGCCCTTTACTGTATTGGTGGTTACATCAAGGAGCCCTAAAGTGTGACCGCTTTTGATTTATTCACAAATTTTATGTGCAAATTTAATCCAATCAGAAGCCAGCTGGAAACTGTCCTCGACCTCTGATCGGTTTATGTCTGCACGAAAGACATGGGGCTCCTTGTTGTAAATGGGACAAATATTAACATACAATAAGAAAGTCAGGGTCTCGGGGCAAAAATACAACCCCATATATTTATTACACGTGCGGCAATAATGATTTCATACCATTTGCACACAAATAGTTAATATGAAAAGAGTCAAAACATGTATGCATGAATGAATGAATGAAAACTTTATTTGTGTCTATGTTTTTAGCTATAAGCTAATGGGGGGCACAATGCAAGGGGTTGCACATAAATCGTACCAATATTAATATAACAAACAAAAATAATAAAGAATATGAATATTTCTATATTAAACGAATGATGTGAATAACCAGAATGAAACAATACATACTGTGGATTTATTTCTGTACTGTCACTTTCGCTGTCTGAAGAGTCAGTCAGTGTGGATGGACTCGCTTGCATCCTGGTACATCTGGCTGTGGAATGATACAAAGAACGAGGAAACTATATCAGCTTATATCGAATGTAATTTCAAGGCCTACAAGAATAACGAATATAAGTGCAACACTTATAGATAACATATTTGTTAATGACATAAACGAAAATTTTACATGCGGTTTATTTTTCACTGATATTTCTAATGACTTAATCTTAATCACTTGTAATCGGATGTAAAGGATAAACAAGCACTTTATCCAGGCTGAAAATGATTGAATATTTCGGGAAATACAAAACAAACTCACTGCAACTGACTGCATAAAGGAGTTCCACCCCGTTGGCTTCTTAATTGATTTTTGTTTTGTTTCTGCACAAGAAGAATGGGTTGGTTCTGGTTCAGCTGGCTCAACTCTCGCGCACGTGGATTGCTCCGCCATCTTGTAAACAACACTGCCCGGAAGTGACGTCCGAGCGTGCCAACCGCGTACAAGCTATTCACGAGGGCTGTCGTCTGGTCGGCTAGTTTTCGAAATGGCATCGACCGTTTCAAATGGCAACGACCGTTCTGAGAAATGGCATCGACCGTTTCAAATGGCAACAACCGTTTACGAAAGGGAAATTTGCTTCGCCGACGGTCATTTTGCAAACGTCTCTCAGGTCAGTTTGCAAACGTGTAGAAGTCAGTTCCCAAACGTTTAGAAGTCAATTCGCCACTGTTATAAGTCAGGGAACCCAACGTCAATTTTAAAATATCTGTTCGGAAGACCATTTGAGATCTAGAATTTTCGGAACTTTTGTTGTCAAATGTCTTGCTTGCCTGCCTGCCTCTCCTAGGATTTTCGAACATCTAAAAAATGGCATAATTGCCGATTTTTAACGGATTTTTACCCTGAAAAGGTCACCTACAATTTTCGGGAGCCTTTTTCTGGCTCAATTTTTCGAACAGGTAAGTTTTGGTCCCTATAATTTTCGGATCACTAGACTTTCAGCTAGGAAATCCGAACAGATAAATGAGATTTATTCCCAGCTTTATATGCTTTAATTTAATAAACGGCCACTCCCGTGGCCAAAATATCCCATAATGGGATTGTGATTATTTTTTGTCCCAGCAAACAGAGCTCACCCAAAGCGAGACTCCGCCAACACCAATAACTTTCGTAATATGTAAAGAAGCATGAAGCATAAAAAATATTCAGGGGATAAAAATATGCCTATATCTACAGTTTAAATACTAAAATACGTTCAATAATGCTATGTTTAAGTGGTTTTAACCTACATTCTTGTGGCGGCTGGGTTCCCTGTTTCGTTTGTTTTCCCACCTTTAGAGGTCATGTGACTTGTTTTTAGTTACCTTTTGATACGTTTCAGTGAGTGTTTGCAGCTTGGGCATTCACTCGAAGTAGCGACCAAAATTGATCGGTTTCGACGCATTGACGACTGTATTGTTTGGAACATTGTCTTCGTGTATTGTCATGATTCAAGATTGTAGCCGTCCTTGCAGTATTGGAAATAAAGGTCCGTGAACAAGAGTGAATTTCGTCGCTACAGTTACTTCGAACGCCGAGCTGCATTCAGATGATTTGTTGGCCTACGAGCACCGTTCTCAGACTATTTGTCCTATCTTATTGTGAATATTGGTATTTTGAGTCCTGGTGATAATATTTGGCATGCAACACTGGCCGTGAGTACTTTCTATGTTTGTATACAAGGGTTTTTGATGCCTTGTTGTTTTGTGATGTCGGTTTGGGATCTTTCGAGCGATGATGGCCGAGATACGGCACTCTATCTCACAAAAACTCCGGATTTGACACTTTGTGAACCTAAAGCCTTCTCTACCGCAATGGAAAACGAAAACGAGGAGTCTGGTTACGCTACAAAGCCAAACAAAACGACAAACTCGCCGCCTCTGGACGAAAACGCATGTGTTTCAGAGGAAATGTGGAATGGACAAGGGAACTCGGAATTGGATCAGACCGTTATCGATAAGAGACCTCGGAAACTAACTGAAAAGGGCAAAGGCTATTGCCTCGTGCAAAGGAAAGGAGAAAGAAATAAACTTAAACGAAAAATACAATCTCAGATTGCTAACATCAGCACGTTGTTGGGCCATGATAAGAACCTTGAGTTAATCAGTGATTTGTCTATTAAACTAAATGATCTGTTTGAGCAGTTTGGTGATCTACACGAAGAAATACAAGAACTTCTTACAAAGGAGGAACAAATTACGGACTCTGAGAATTATGATGACTTGTACCAAGAAATTAGACTCATTCGTGAAACAGTACAGAAGTGGATGATCGATGCCAATCAGCGGATTAGAGATGAGAAAATTGAAAGGGGTTCTGCCAAGAGCATCAAATCAAAGGGCTCTAGGTCCTCGAAGTTGTCAACCACATCCTCAAGGGTGAAGGCTCTCGAAGCCAAGGCAAGGCAGGCTGAGTTAGAGGCAAGGATCACACAACTTGATCAAGTCGAGGCTGCGAAGAAGGAAGCAGAAGGAGCAAAACTAATGGCCGAACGTGCAGCTGTGGCCGCTGTCAACAAAGTGTATGAAGACGCTATGAAGGAGGATGACGAACAATATTTGGGCTCGGAGGATCCTGACATCAATGATACAGCTGCCGACGATCAGCCTAAACCAAAGAAGTCTTCGTAGACCACTGAGCCCATACAAACCATAGATGAATCCAGAAATTTGAGGAAAACTGAAGCAGAAATTAAGCATTTGAATGATCCTGCTGAGAATCAGCTGGAATCAATAAGCGCTTTAGACCCTAAGGCACCGGAATTTGCGTTGCCCTCTGTACCCTTACAATCGGAATGTGTTGTTAGCAGTGGTAGTGCAGCATACTGCAACCCCATGGTAACGAATTGCAATGCCGAAGTGACCAGTCTTGTACCACCAGCAGCCTTCTGGGAAAAGATGGAATTAAGAATGACGCAACCCCCGCCTGTACCCGCTCCGTTTGATGGAGATCCATCCCGCTACCTTCATTTCAGAGCTGACTTTAGAGATCAAGTCGAG